AGCGTGGGGGGAGAGAAGGAAGTAGGATTAAAGTAAGCTTTCTGAGCTGACTCCTAAAGGATAAATAAGTGTGTATTAGTTTTGTATTGATGCATAACAAATTACTACAAACTTACTGACCTCGAACACTCATTTATTTTTATCTCATATTTTTTGTAGGTTAGATGTCCACACATGGCTTATATGGATTTTCTGTTCAGGGCCTCAAAGGGTAAAATCAAAGTATTAGCTTGACTGAGTTACTCTTGGAGCTCAGTGCCCTCTTCCAAGATCATGTCGTTGTTGGCAGATTTCTGTTCCTTGCAGTTTTAGGATTGAGATTTCTGCTTTCTCTCTAGCTGTCGAGGTGGGGCCACTCTTGGCTCCAAGAGGCTCTGTATTTCCTCTCCATGTGGCCCTCTCACAACATGGGAGTCCACTTGTTCAAGGCCAGCAGGAGACCCTCTTGTTCCAGTCAGTTGAGGTGGAGTCATATACGGTAATGCAACCAAGGGAGTGACTGTGCCATTCCCATTGCCGTACTCTAAGGCCTAGAGGCAAGTAACAGGGTTCACCCCCACTCAGGGGAGGAGGTTCTACAAGGGCATGGTTCCTTGGGGGTCATCTGAGAATCCTGTCCACCAAAAGGGGATTAAGCTGGTGGAGGAGAAAGTGTGGGTGAAAGAGGCTGCAGAGTGAGTTCAGGGCACTTTGAAAAAAGGGGCTAAGAAGAGGCTTCAAGTATAAAATGATGAATTCATTTTGGAATTTTTTAGTTTCAGGAGCTTGTAGGGCATCCAGATGAAACTTTGCCCTGGGACTTTGGGTCTGCGCATTTGAAACTTGATGGAGTTATAGATCCACTGGTTGTCATGTTGGTGAAACTGACAGTGGACTGGGCGGTGTAGAGGCAGTGACCGACACAGGCGGTGGGTGGGATGGAGCCTCAGAAGAGCAGCAGTGATGGTTGTGCCCAGGGAGAGGCACTGAGGCAGGAAGGCAAAAGTGAGCCGGGAACAGTGCAGGGAGAACAGGAAGTGCGCTGTTACCACAGTCGGGGGTGAGAATGTGCTAAAAAGCAGGGAGCAGCAGAGTAAACCCAGTCTTTCTGTGGTCCTCAATCACCTATTCAGCATATGGTAAACTCCTGTCAAATGATGGCTAGTCAGTGCACAAATATCAGAAACTGTATTTGATGTTTACCCTTAAAACCCAGCAGAGTTTACATTTAATATTTTTTTTAAATAGGTAATTAGTTCAGTTCAGGTTTTACGATCTTGACTTTTTTCTCTCAGAATTCTTTCTTCATGAGACATTTTGTTCATTTGAGATATATTTCTTCAGGCAGTAAGCACAAATAGGCAGGCTAACTTAATATTTAAGGCAGGATATCTTCTCAGCAATTTGAAATTTGGCAAAATAACTAATACCTGCCATTGAGGGTTTACCGTGTGACATGTGCTGTAATAAGGTTTTGCATGTGGATCTCTGATTCTTAAAATGATCCAGTAAAGAAGTTATGATTATCTCCCAGACAAAGGTTAGGAAACTGAGGCTCACAGAGAAGTAAAGACACTGGTACTGGATAGAAGAACTAAACAAATAAAGAGACAAGCCAGAAGAATGAGGAAATGCTTATGGAGTTTAAAGTACAATACACATATCCTAAGCTGATGGAGAGAAGAAGGACTATTCAATAAGTGGCCTTGAGACAACTGAATGGTCACCTTGGCAGAAATGTTGTGACTTTATCTCACAGCATGTCCTAGTACAAATTCAGATTTTCGAATATTTAAATGTAAGAAATAAGTTATAAGTGTAATAGGCATAAACAAAGGAGAAGTTTTATAATCTAGGAATTAGGAAGGATTTTCTGTTACTTAAATCTAGAAGCCATAAAGGAAGAGTGTTATAGTCTCATTTCTTAAAAGAAACAAACAACAAAAATCTCTGCATATAAAAAAATACCATAAGAAAAATGAAAGAGGGAAATGATATACTGGAAAAAATAAGTAATGCATCTCATATTGTAGAGAAAGGAATAATCTCTCTGATTTATTAAGAACAAAAGATGAATAATCATTTCAACGAAAAATGGACGAAATATGTAAAGAGCTATTTCACAGAAAAGGAAATACAAATGGCTTTTAAATATACAAAGTAATTTTCAACTTCCTCATTGTGAAACAAGTATAAAAACTATAGTGAGATACCGTTTTTCACTTGCCATCTTGGCAAAAATCCAAAGATTTGATAACACACCCTTTCGACCAGGCAAGGGGAAAACAGACCGCGGTTTGAGGCGACTGTTTAGTAGAGCAGCTCCTGTGGAGCCCAACTTGGTGGTACTTCTCAGCAGGAAAAAGCGGGTCTCTACTTCTGAGAAGCCATTCCATAGATATCCTTGCATGTATGCCAACAACATATGTGCTGACTTTTCACTGCAGCTTTATATGATTGGAAAAAAGATAGAAACCAACCTAAACATTCATAAATATGGAGCCAGCTAAATATATCATGAAATATCCAATCAGGATAATGCTGCACAAGTATGAAAAAAAAACAAACCCCAACAAGAATGCTCTTTATAATATAATGATCTCTGAGGTATTTTGTTAAGTGAAAAGAGAAGTAGAAAACAGTATCATGATGTGATGCCTTTTGTGTACCAGAGCAAAATATACGTGTGTGTGTGTGTGTGTGTGTGTGTGTGTGTGTGTGTGTGTTTCTTTGTATATTTATACAGGAAATTTTGCAAGGATATATTAGAATCTAATAATGGTGATTAGTTGGTAGAGGTATTTTGAGTTGGCCAGATGAGGGAGGACAGGTAGGAAAGTTTTCAGTATTATTTATTTCTATATACAGGTGTACATTTTTACTGCGAACTGTATGAACTCAAAAACTAAAATAAATTATATGTACAGAAAGACAGCAAGCTAAGGCATCTCAAGGAGTCTGTCACACTCAGATGTGGCTATATAGGCAAATGACAGCCTGATGCAGTCATTTTCCAACTTGTTGGTTGCTGTACCCATCAATAAAGAAACTATTATTTTATTTTGACATATGTGGCTTATTTGTCTATTTAAAAATCATATGACTTACTTTGCACCTTAAAGTGGTGGACTAAAAAAGAAACTAAAAAGTATAATATAAAAATGAAATTAATAGTATTTATTTTATTAAAGATGAGTTTGCTCTCACCAAAACAATAATAATATGCATGATTCCTTTTTGAAATCCTGATTCTTTTTTGAAAGCCTGGTTCAAGCTTTTTGTTCCCATTGTCTGAAGTCTGTTTTTTTAATGTCATAACCAAGATGATGGACCATCCTGGCTTTTCTAGAATTGAGGGGTCCTCCAGGTGTGGGGCTGCAGTACTGTGACCGCATCGGTCCTGAGCAAACTGGGACAAGTCATTCACCCCAGTCATAGCTTAAAAGACCTGTTGCAAAGATATAGAGGGATAAATTGAGGAGATGGTTGTTGGCCACCATTATTAAATTATGATACTCATTTTTCAGTGTTGTCCATCAATAATACAAAGGTTTTTGTATACTTCAGCTGCTGAATTTTCCCCTTCTGTGATGACGATCAATTTTCCTGGGAACTAATCAAAAGTATTGCACATTTATATTTCCAAAAGTGAGTTCAAAGCCCAGTAAACCCTTCATTTGGAAGATTTCTAAAATGGGAAACTGTTCCCCAATTTTTAAGTGTACAATTATTTTGAGTTTTTGTAAGGGGTCATACATTGTTTGTGGCCACAAAATTATGTAAATAAAACACCTGTCTGGATATACATTAACAAATGCTCTTTGCTACTGTGAGTATCTTCCAGAATAGAAGTGATTCCCCTAGTCATTGCTAAATGGTCAACTTTCCTTCAAGACTGATGAGTTGCTTGCTCCATGGAGAGAAGCTCTGCTGTCTTCTTGTTGGTTGCTTGTGTTGTCTTTCATGTTTGGTCTGTATGCTTTCTTCCCAGGAATCTTTGAAGTCATTCGGCCATTCTGTGAAGGTCAGTTTGGCTGAAATTACATAATGTTATCTTAACTGAGCCTTATAAACTGTAGTAGGGCCTGGTATGCTGAAAGCAAAGGTAGGAAGGAAGACTTAGCTCCTTTGTGGGATGTGCCTCTTCTGTTAGCCTGTCTCTTGCGTGACTGTCAGACCCAGGGATCCTGTTAGGAAAGTGCTCTTGTCAATATTAACTGTCAGTGAATCTTACCTTCTCTTGTATTTTAGCCAACAAAGGATTAAGACAGCAACGGATAACAGAGTTGTCCACCCCAAAACATACCTAGTTATTTTCAAGAAACAAAAGAGTCAGGAAAAGCCTTTGACTTTCCCCTTAACTGCCCCCCAAAATTTAGACAGAGGGCCTACCTCGGAAAGGAAGCTATTATCACATGCAACTATGATTTAATATGAATTGGTGTGATAGATAGGGAGGAACCTAGGAATGCCCCTTTGAACAAAGTCTTCTCTATGGTCATTGTTAGAGATGGCCCAGGAAACATTTATTTACTGAACATTTATGGTTCTGTCTCCATTTGAATTGCCTTCCTGCCTTTCAGGTTCCAAACCACAATCCCTCTACCCTTTTCTCCTTATCCAAAGATGGTATATAAACCTTAATTGCCCTTTCTGTCCTTGGGTCTCATATTTTACAGCATCCCTATATGTACATACGTAATAAATTTGGTCATTTCTTCCTATTAGTCTGTCTCATATCAATTTGATTATTAGTCGAGCCAGAAGAACTTAGAGGGAGAGAAGGAAAACATATTTTTCTCCTATAACAGTAATAAAGGATTCCTCCCGTGTCTGGATGGATTGTGGTGTGCCCCTCCTGGGGTTTGGACACCCACCTGGCAGGCACTGGTTGCTGACATATTGTCCCCTTCATTACAGTGCTTTTCATGGCTTGGCTTCCTGCAGACAGGAAAGTTCGTTTTCAGTGTTCCAAACAATTATCCAAAAATGCGGTCTAAACCCCATTTTCTGTGTTCTAGGAGCAAGCTGAAGAAGAAGAGCCCAGGGATGGGGCAGCTCCTTTGAGTCACGGTAATTACCACCTCCCTCTACAGTTTAGTTCATAATGAACAACTTTTAAATGAAGCTTTTATTAGATAGCTGTAGTTGTTTTAGTTTTATTCATTTAAGTCTATAATAATAGTACTTATCAACAGTGTGCTACATACTCTTCTGTAGACTTTATCAGAGTCATCTAAGATTTTCAAATTTAGGGTGGGGTAAAAGTAGTTGTGATATGCCAAACAGAGTTTATTCATTTGTTATTATTTATTTACTATTGTATTATTTTCCATATGAACAACTATAAACCTAATTTTGCCCCATCCTATATATACATGAAGAAAAAGTTTGAAGCTCATAAAAGCTTTAAGTAAAACAACTTTTGATTTGTAAACTTTCCCTGTGAGCAAGAAAATAGGAAATCCTACTAATTTTATTTATAATTCTTCACTTAAGGTTTTCCCATATTGGTTTACTGTTCTAATGATAGCATTTGTACCTTTTTATTGAAGGTATGTTTTAGAGGAGATTTTACATTTGCTCTAAGATGAATATCCCTTATTGTGGTTATTAATACAGCTTTTGAATAGTCAACTAATTCTCTGGTGCTTTAAATTTAAATAAAAAGTGCAGATGCTATTTCTCCGAAATATATATTCCATATATTTTGTGATTATTGCTGTACAAGCAGACAACTGTTATTAAACTTTTTGTAAAATGTAGTTGAATATCCAACATTCATGCAATTCTCCATAGGAAGAAAGCACATAAATTTGATCATTTTTCTTTAATGATCTTTTAAAGTACCTTAAGTATTGTTGAGTAAGGTTTTCTTTTTTTAATACTGGACAAAACTAAAAATACCTTGAATAAAATGAGAAAAAAGAATTTATGTTTTTAAAGATCATTTTTTATTGCTTAGCCTTGGGATACAATATTGAAAATTTGTGGCTGTCTACCTAAGTGATTTTTAAAATAAAAATCTACTATAAGAAAACTATGCTGCTTTAAATTTCTTTTTTTTTCCTCTTGCTGTAACAGCAGTCTGATCACATTCTTTGCTAAAAAAGCAAAATAGAATATGGTAATTTGATAATTATGTAACTTGATGTTCCGCTCCATTGAAATATACTTCAGTTATGCAACCCTGGAATTCCAGAAATAAATTTGGACCGTACCTGACCCTAACAGCAGGTGTTTTTAAAACATTTATTTTCTTCTTAGGGAGAAGTTGTGATTTATTATGTTGTTGTTTCTTCCTTGCAGGTATATATTCACAGTAATGTAAATTGTCTTCAACCAAGAATCATGGTTGAAGCATTGATTCTGCAAAAGGAAAGGCAGAGTTAGGCCAGCCATTTAAAACTGCTTAGCCCTGGCTGAGGGGCTCAGTTTGTTGGAGCAGTTTGTCGGAGCAGTTTGTTGGAGTGCCGTCGCATACACCAAAAGGTTGCAAGTTTGATTCTCGGTTGGGGTGGGTACAGGAGGCAACTGATCGATGTTTTTCTTTCACATCGATGTGTGTGTCTCTCTCCTTTCCTTCCTCTCTAAAATCAACAAACACATCCTTGGTTAAGGATTAAAAAAAAATGTTCAGTCTCCAAAACTAAGATTATTTAGTAATTAAAGTTTTTGTAGTTTCATTATAGCCAACTACATCTTTATCTTAGTTTTAATGAGGAGCAATTTTTTTGCTGTTGTGTGTTCTTCCTTTGTTACATTGTTTTATAGTTTGTGGTTCATTCTCAAAGGTTTCACCCTGTGGTTTATTATTCTCCAAATCTGATGTTGTTGTTGCTGTTTTCCCAGCTGTAGAACATAGATAGCTCATTGTTTAGAAGGATGAGATTTGGTTTGTATATAGAGATGTTACAAACTGTTAGTTGAAATGCAAATAGAATTATTGAAGGGTCTTTTGAGGTGACTTATATTTTAACCACTTTTAGTGGCATGGAGAACTATTCCCTTAAATTGCCTATTATCCTGGTATTAAAATTGATATTTTTCTTTCTCTAGTTCCTGGAAATAGTTTAATCTTTTCTGTAGGCTACTTGCAAGGCAAGAGATTTAGTTATTTATCTTATGTCTTCAAAATAATAACAAAAGAAAAATAAAAACTATGTACACATATATTTATGTGTGAACAGAAAATTATACTGAAAAACACTCAAGTCTTGGTAGTGGTTTTATAACAAGTAAGCTATTTCTTTGGAAATCTTTACAAAATAATTTATTGAGTGATCAATCTCTTTGTCTCTAACATTAACCCCTATGTTAAAGATGATGAAGCCTTGAGAGTCCATTTGATTTATTTAAGGTAAAGTTTACTAGGTTGTGGTGGATCCAGGATTTGAACCCCTATTTAACAAGTTCTAAAAGTCTATGCGCTTTCTATTTTCTTTTATACTTTCTACTTTAACATTCTCCCTTATTTGTAGCTATTAAGGCAAAGGGGAAAAAACAAACAAACTGGAACCTTGCTTACAAATACTATGGGGAAAGTAACAACTACTAATTAAAATATTAATGCTGTCTAATATAGCCTTTGTTTCTTTAGGGTCTGCCTGAACTAGATTTTTTTTTTTTTTTTTTGGTATAGCCATGCCCTGAGATTAATCCTTTTTGTTTCTTTTGGAATCTCTTTGAGCTAAGCTGGTAATTAAAAATAATTAACAACTGTCATAGATACTCCTAAGAGAAGGCTTGTCTCAGTATTATTTGTTAATAATTATGTTTGTTTAAATTTGTAGAACTGGTATTGTCAATCACTAGGTAATCCCAGACCTCTGCTTCGAAGTCTCCAAAATAAAAACAACTTATTTCTTCAACTGGACCAGTGATCTGGCTTTTCTCCATCTAAATATGAAGTATTCTTTTTCACTAAAGCTAATATTTGTTTGATTGAGTGTTAGGGCAGTGAGATTTTTTAAACATAAAAACAGTGGAAGAAATTATAAAGGAAAATGAGATGTATACACATCCAAACTAACAGAGTTAGTTGTACAGAGTTTGTTGTAAATAAACTCTATATAACAGAAAACATTATGATAATTATAATAAAATTAAAATGGAAATGGCAAACAATCTAGCATGTATTTGCCACAACTACAAATGACAGAAGGCCCATAATATATAAAGGAATAAGAAAAAATAATCAAATACCCTAGGATCTCAGTGCAAAAACAGGCAAAGGGTGTGAGCAGGTAATTCATGGGAGAGGAAATAAAAGTGACTAAAAATAAATGTATTAAGTATATTTAGTCTAATTAGGAAACAAAGTCATACGAATTTAAAAGTAATGATGAACATTTTTTAACCTACCAAATAACAACAATTTAAAAAATGTCACTATCCCTGGTGGGTAGGATGGGGAGGACTGGCTGTCAGTAGGACAGGGAGTGCAGGTGAGTCTGTTGTTTTGGAGGACATATTGATAGCATTTGTCAGAAGTGTGAAATTAGCATTTGCTTCAACTCAGGAATTCCACTTTTTGGAATTTCTTTTAATGAAATAAGCATGAGCATTCAGTTTATGCATATGGCACTCATGGTACTATTTATAAATGGAGACAAGTTGAAAGTAATCTAAATGTCCAACAAATTTGGAATAACTGAAACATTGCTGTAAAATAGTGTGTAGATGACTATGTAGTCACTTAAGTGCTTTTGAAGAACTTTAAGAAAGGGAAGCTTATGCTCAATATCAAGGGGAAAAGAGAACCCAGGGGATTAGTCTCTTAATGTTGGTTGAAAAAAAATCACCTATTAATAGAAAGAAAGATGTTATTGTTATCTCTAAGTTGTGAGATAAAAAGTCTGTATTTATATTTTCCAAGTATTTTTTACAAGTAGTATGTAATTGTATTATAGTCAGACAAGTTTTTAAAAATAAATTTAGAAAATTCTGAATATTGTGGAATGGAGGGTATTGTTGGGATGTTTGTTTCTAGTATTTTTTTGTAAGTAAACTTTTATTTTGGAATAATTTTAGATTTAGAGAAAAGTTGCAAACATAGTACAGTGGTAGTTCTATTTACCCTTCACCCAGTTTTTCCTAAGGTTAATATCTTTTATAACAATAGGACTTTTGTCAGAACTAAGAAATTAACTTTGGTACATCAATATTCACTAAACTGCAGTCTTTATTCGAATTTCACTAGTTTTTCTGCCATTGCCCTTTTTCTGTACCAAGACTCAGCCCAGAATATTACTTTGCATTATCATTGCATATATTTCTTTACCCATGTAGTCTCTTATCTTGTTCTCTTCTGGTCAGAAGTCACCAGTAGCTTCCATATTTCCTGAGAGCTACAGGATTTCCTCACTTGCCATCTCCTCATCCTGTCCTCACCAGCTGGGGTCTGTAGTCAGCCATTCCCCTGAAACTATTCTTGCTTAGCTCACCAGTGCTTCACTGATAGTTACTAACATTCTGTTGATTGAAGAGAGTAAGTGTACTCCCAAATCAATGGAAGCATTCATGCTCTTATTTTTCTTACTCTTTAATTTCACTTAGTCATTAAAACTGAACACTTCTTTGTTCCCTATTGTTCAGTCCCTCACTCTGTAAGTCAATCAATTTAGAACCCTGGAGACATCCTAGATTTCTCTCTAATTTACCCCCAAACCTAGCCAAACAATTATCAACTGTACACATCCTTCTTGATATCTCTCAAATAATGTCTCCCAACTTAGAGCTGTCACTGGTCACTTTTTAATTGTTCAGTCTTTTTATACTCGCTCTTCCCCAGCTAAAATTCATCTGAATTTCTTTTAGTTGAGTGCCTCCTATCTTTTCTCTAGAATATCATTAGAGGCCTCTCACCGACTGGCCCTTGCCTGTACCCTGCCACCTGCCTCCCCTTTTCCCTCATTTTGCTCTAGGCAAACAGAACCATATAGACCTTTTGGTTTGAAAGATTGTTTCTTCTGCCTGGAGGGTTCTTCTTCTGACCTTATCCAAGTTGTTGGCTCCTTGAGAACCTTATTATCTTCTGTACTTTTCCTTATTTTGTAGTATTTTTCTTCCTA